CTGGATTCCTACTGCTGGCTCTAAATCATAGTTTGATTAACTGGCATTTAGGCTATTGAGAGTCAGATGGCATACAAGTTTAATAAATTATTATCTGTTCACAATAATAGGAGGTCATAGCTACCAGTTCTTTTGCTGGTGTTGCCCCTCATACACGTTGAATTCTTCTCAAGAACCTAGGATGTCATAAGATATCAGTGTAGCACTTGTGTAGATCCATGAAGTGTGGCCTTTTACAATTGACAGAAATGTTGTCAATGTGCAGATTTTCTAAGTGCCACCCAATATTTGGGATGGAATGGAATGGAATGGAATAGAATCTGGAAGGGACTTTGGAGGTCCAGTGTGCCAATAACCACTGGGACCACCACAGCCAATTTAGGCCATAATCTTTGAACTTTGATTTTCAGATCTTGATATTTCGTGATCGTCTCCAATAATAATAATAATAATAATAATAATAATAATAATAATAATAATAATAATAATAATAATAAAGTTGGAAGGGACCTTGGAGGTCATCTAGTCCAACCCCCTGCTCAGGCAGGAAACCCTATACCATTTCAGACAAATGGCTGTCCAGTCTCTTCTTAAAAACTTTCAGTGTTGGAGCATTCACCACTTCTGGAGGCAGGTTGTTCCACTGGTTAATTGTTCTAACTGTCAGGAAGTTTCTCCTTAGTTCTAGGTTGCTTCTCTCGATTAGTTTCGATCCGTTGCTTCTTGTTCTGCCTTCAGGCGCCTTGGAAAATAGCTTGACTCCCTCTTCTTTGTGGCAGCGCCTGAGATATTGGAATACTGCTATCATGTCCCCCCTCGTCCTTCTCTTCATTCTCTTCATTCTTCTATTCTATCTCCTGGTATTGCCACAATAATTATCCACAGTTAAATCTGGTGTGTTATGTGCCAAGAATTTAGTGGTTTGTACTAAGAAATTCCACAATATTTTAACCTGCTCATTTTCTATTTTTCAACTCTGTGTTCACACCAATTTTTCATTACTGGCACAGGATAATTTTTTACAGATGTTCCAGTGAATCATTTTGGCAACTGCGATATATCATTCTTTATAATCTGTTGTGTGATCTTTTTGAATAAGCTAGTTTCTTCTACCATTTTGCACAATCTGTATGTTGAATCATTTGACAATTTTTCATTATTGTTATTGGGCTAGGCACACCAGCAAATTGCAATGTAAATAACTGAATTATAAACTATGGTTTGCATACCCCAATAGATGACTTCACACAACATGGTGCTATGCTTACACAATATACTAATTCATTTATTTTATTTTATTTATTTGTATTCTGCCTTTATTATTTTTGCAAATAACTCAAGGTAGCAAACATATCTAATATTTCTTCCTCCTATTTTCCCCACAACAACAACCCTGTGAGGTGGATTGGGCTGAGAGAGAGATTGACTAGCCTAAAGTCACCCAGATGGCTTTCATGACTATGGCAGGATTTGAATTCATGGTCTCCCGTTTTCTAGCCTGGTGCCTTAACATTAGACCAAACTGGCTCTCAGTTTGTGATTAAGGGTGTTCTGTGAATTTAGCAGACATAGTTTGCAAGCGTTATGCTAAACTACTTAGCGTAACAATTGTGTTGTACACAAAACATAAGTCCAAACGTGATTTACTATACTTATTTTTGGCATGTCTGAATATAAGGCACCATGGCTTATAAACCCAGTAATAGCTTAACAGTGTATGAACAGTGGTGGGATTCAAATATGTGAACAACCGGTTCTCTGGATTGATGCTGCTTCCGGAAGTCCATTCTGGGCCTGGGCAACAAAAAATTAGCTACCGGTTCTGCTGAAGTGGTATGAACTGGCTGAATCCCACCACTATGTATAAACCAAATCCAGTAAGGATGATTTGGTCATCCAAAGTAAAATAAACCATCAGTTAGTATACAGTATAAATGTACCGTAGCCATTATCGAGATATCATTTTTGTCAGATTTTCCTGCTCACCTTAAATTAAGAAAGTTTCTGAAGCTCATTTCAAAGTAATTGAACCGCTCAAATCAGAATTCGTTTATTCTTCCATTAGTTAAAAAACATTTTTTTCCTCTTATACTTCCCTTCCTAACCATCATGACTGATGATCTATCACTGTTTCCTGGGAGGGAAGAATCACATTCATCAGAGCCTTGAGCCCTTTTTCTCCTCACTTACAGACTGCATCTGCTCTAAAGATGCCCGTTACGCTCCCTTTCCTGCTCCTTACAATCTGTGAGTATTGTTGGTTAGGATTCCTGAAACTCTATAACTTTTTATCCTGGCAATGGCTCTTCTAGAGCAGGGCTTTTCAACCAGTGGTATGGGTACCACCTGTGGTACATTGGCACCTGGCAGGTGGTACGCGACCATCCTAGAAAAGTGGTAGCGGGGGAGGAGAATGAGCTGAACCGGTGGCAGCACCGCACAAGCCTGAGCGAGAGACAGCTGGAGCTGCAGGGCTCAGCGGAAGCGCCAGGATCAGTGCCGTTTTCCAGCTGATCGGTGCTTCTTCGGGACTGTCAGGGATCAGCGGAAGCGCCAGGATCAGTGCCAGGCTCCAGCTGGAGCTCTGCGCTGATCCTGGCGCTTCTGCTGAGCCTTGAAGAAGCACCAATCAGCTGGAAAGTAGCACTGACCCTGGCGCTTCTGCTGAGCCCAGAAGAAGCGCCGATCAGCTGGAATGTTGCAGCATCTCCATGGTCTTGTGATTTACATTCAGATGCTTGGCAACTGATTCATATTTATGATGGTCACAGTGTCCCAGGATCCTGTGAAGAAACCTGCTGCAACCACCCAGCAGACGGGGGGAATAAAAACCAAACACCCCCCACCCCACCCCCGCTGCCAATCCTCAACAGAAATGCTCACAACAGTGAAAACCTCGGACAGGAGGAAAAGCGTGGCCAGGTGGGCCGGCAGGTGTCTTGCTTGGCTGTGGCTTGGGGGGCACTTTTTTCAGTGCCATTGTAACTTCGAACAGTCACTAAGCAAACTGTTGTAAGTTGAGGACTACCTGTACTTCATCACTTTTTTCCTTTTTTTTTTTTT